CCAAGAGACAAGAAGAAAGAAGAGGGGGAAGGAGAAAAGACACAAGGGAAGAAACCTAAGAGCCACAAGGAGGGGATTAATCTAATTAATCACCAATTTATGAGCTTAAAACACTCTACTAAATATAATGAGCTGACATTTAATAGAGGATATTAAAACTCACCAAAAGTAAAACTCAACTTGTTTTGACCCCCCCCCCTCTGTCTACATCACTTAGTCCTTGAGTTTTCCATGAATCGATGGCTTTTGCCTTTTGGGGAAGGCTAGATGAGGGAAACCGGTGAAAATTGGCTGATACTCAAGGTGATTAGAGCTCTCTGATTTCTTAAGGTTCAAGAACTTCATCTTGGTTGTAAATCTCTAGAATGTTTTGAATCAAACAATATTTATGGATTTTGAGAGATACATCTTTTTATCAAAATATGTCAAATCAGTGCCCATATTGAATGGTTCAAATCTATCTATTCTTTGACTTGAAAAGTGACTAGAGGACCCTCCTCGATTTCTGTGGGTTGATCGAGGGCTAGGACGGGAGGTAGTTTCCCAACAATGATTCTGGCAGCGATCCCATTGGTAAAATACCTTGATTGACAAGCAAATGGTATTGTTTTAAATTTCTTGATATTACAAACTCAAATAAGTTGATTGGTTGAAAATTTAATGGTTGTATTGTCCCAAAAGAATTTGAGAACATTTATGGATCAAATTCAAGATTTTTGGAAAATGAAGACAATAGACAACATTTTTTGGTACCAAAATGTTTGTCTCTTCAAGAGCAATCTAATACCACCAATGACTTGTGAATCCGAAGCTTGTAGGAGTCATAATAATTCTAGTAAGTTGTTGAGATTAGATTTGGCCGCCAGAAAATTGCAACGATATGTTAACATTTTGCACTGAAATGTTAGTCTTCCTGTGAACAACTTGACTTCGTAAATGATTTAGTCATAACTTCAACCTCAGTGTATATCGAGGGAGAGCTTGTCAGGGGGTTGGACGGGTTGACCCTCATGTCAATAGATAGGCGGTGACAATTTCGGGCCAGACCCCTCTTGCATACACAAGAGGGATGACGGGTCAAACCAGTCATTTTTGTTGGTTTGGCACAATCCACTTCTATAATTTGGCCAAACGTGCTCTATTATGAGCCGTTTTTGTGTTGTTGGATTCATTGCAATGATTCAGCAATTTTGATTGTAAATTTATGAAACTTTGACTCTGATTGATACTTCAAATAATTTTATGAAGTTTTTGGTTTTATTTTTTAGTGCTTTGAGATTCATAATTTTGTATAAAAAATTATGCTTAATTGATGGAAATTATTATGGTCCTTGAAAGTATGTTTCTTAAGGTGATCTTTGTGGAAACATCTACCACTCAACTTCTACATTTTCTTTGTTTTCTCTGACATAATAATAGTCAGTCATAACTTTGACTACAGTGTCATTCCATAATTGTAGCTCCATTTTTTATACTAAAAACCTTCCATTTTTTTAAATCCCATCCTCCCTTTGTTTTTCTCTTTTTATTATGCCCATCACCTTTATTCCCTATATTAGAAGAAAGAGTAACATTGCTTGAGATAAAATATAAACTGATGCTTTGTTTAGTAATAATTTATCCCCTTTTGCCACTTGACTGTTTTATTTGCCCATATTTCTCACTTGCAAATGGACGAGACCGTGAGTTGATAGACTGCTTTACATATTTACCCTGCTCTGAAGTTTAGTAGCAATGTTTCTTGAGAAGCATTCATATTAGTTTTCTGGAAAATTTTTGTTAATATAGAAAACTGAATTATCTTGACTTCCTTGTTGGCAACAATCTTTAGTATGGCGTAGGAATCAAGGTAGTCATTTTGATTAGGCATTCTACATGCTCATTAGCAATTATTATGCAAATGTAGAAATCTAAGGGGCTATTTGGTTGGCTAAAGAAGGAATAGAATGTAAAAGAAATACAATGTAAAAGGAATAATTTGGAGTTGTTTAGATGAGTGTAAAAGGAATAATTTGGAGTTGTTTGGATGAGTGTAAAAGGAATCCCTGATATTACCTTTTTTTATTTGGCTTGAACTAAAATTAATGCAATGTAAAGTCCAAATAAGGCGGTGTCGATGATCGATAGTGGCGATGGTGGCTAACGGTAGGTGGGCGGCGGCGGTGGCAGATGACGATAAGTTAGCTTTGTTGCGGTAAAAAAGGTTTTCATTCAAAATTGGACGAGTTTACTTTTTCTAAAAAATGGACTAAATGTTTTACACTGCATTTAAAATTCTTTACTCCACATTCTTTTTTCCATCCAACTAAATATCAATATTTTCAAAAACCTGCAAAAAGAATAATTTACACCCACTTTACTTCAAACCAAACAACCCCCAAGAAACTTTTTACTAGCTTTTCCTTGCAATCTATCTGATAGATGTTCTGATTTTCTAATGTAAACAAGTAAATGGTTGTGGATGAAAAGGGTAAATCACATGCATCACTGATAGGAGTTAAGAGGAATAGGATTAGTAAAGGCAATCTCAGTTTGTTAGATAGGGCTAATGAATCCGTTTATAATTAAATTAAAAGATAGTTTAAGATATAAGAATGCAAGTTGACCAAGGCCCATATAAATTTCATAATTTTCTCCTTCAATTCTCTTTCCACAATTACGAGTGGTTGTTTTTTTTCTGAAAGTTTTCTGTCACTTTAGAGGACTGATAATTTCCAGTTGACTTCATAGGAAAAAAATCTTCAATAAAGAATCGTCCATGCGAATAACATTTATCATTCAAATCCAAAATTCAATGCAATTTTGCAATGCTTCATCTCTTTCTGTAATCCAAGGCATGGACATGCAAATTCACTGATGTAATGCAAGTAGAACGCCAGGATCAAAGTAATGACCGAATGAAATTGTGTGAAAGTTTTATATAAACTAGAGTTGACGGAATAAAGCCCAAATGGGCTCATTAACAAAGCCCTAAATATTTGAGTTAGGGCTAGCTAATAACAATGATGAATCAAATGTAAATGATCCAAGCTTAAGAATGCCTTATGATAAAGGCTTATACAGTAAGATGTATTGATGTGAATCAAACAAGAATCGCATGCGGAAATTAAAATGAAGTTTAATTAGAGCGTTGCCAACACAAATTTATCACTAATAAAATAAAGGATTAAATGTATTCTAGGTAATCAACTTGCTTAGGCGAAGATTTGCTTTGAGATAACCAAACAATTCATAACATTCAAAGATAAAAGAACTACTTAAATGCTTATAACAAAAATCCCACGATTAATAATGAGAAAATTCACCTCGAGCACCGTCTCACTCATTCACTCTTTGGCTTTTAGCGGAGGAGAAAGAACCACATGAAGATGGAGAGCACCACTACGGAAAAGGAGACGAAGGACTTCGTTACCGGAGAGGCAGCCGCCGGTGGAGGTGGTGGTGGATGGCACCCGTGATCGTCCAAACGTAGTCTCGAAACTGGCGGTCGATGATGCGCACAAGTGATGGGAGAATCCGCTCCAATTATTCACCAACTGTGTCTTCGTGCTCAAACCCCGCGTCGAAGAACGGCGACCAGAGGATGTTGAGGCTACCGTCGGCGTTAAACACAAGCCCCAACTCAAATTCGGGATCCGCCATTCAACATTGAGGAAGGGACGGGAAGAAGAAAAGGAGGAAGAGTTGGGCCGTGAGCTAGGGAGAGACTTGTGGAAAAATCTGAAGTTGAATTTCAGATTTCAAGTATGGGAGGGAGAGGCTATTTTACCATTATAATTTCCCTAAATTATATTAAAGAAGGGGGGGGGGTGGCTATTAGGGGAGAATTAAGAGGCTAATTAGTGGATGCTTAGGTGGCAAGGAGAGAGAGAGAAAACTAGCTTGGGTGGCCGGCCAAGCAAGGAGGGAAGGGAGGGGATTTTATTAATTGGTGGGCTCCAATGAGGTAATTAAAATATGAGCTTTTAATTTCAGATTTCAATTAATTAGGGAAGTTTCAATAAGGGGAAGAGGGAAATTTGAATTTGAATTCAAATAGATTAATCCTCAATTAATTGTCATTCCTAATTGGGATGACAAATTAGGAAGTAATTAAAGGAGGCTTAATGGCTGAAATTTGAATCATCCAAGGAGGGTGGACGGTGGGATTTTTCAGGGGAAAGGCTCGGCTGGACTGGAGGAGGGGCGGCAGGCTAGGCTAGGCCGCTGGCTAGCTCAGCCGGCGGCAGGGAGAGAGACGGGATCCTGGGCCGGCGGGTTTGGGGGGGTTGGGGGAATTAATTGTCATTCCTAATTGGGATGACAAATTAGGAAGTAATTAAAGGAGGCTTAATGGCTGAAATTTGAATCATCCAAGGAGGGTAGACGGCGGGATTTTTCAGGGGAGAGGCTCGGCTGGACTGGAGGAGGGGCGGCGGGCTAGGCTGGGCCGCTGGCTAGCTCAGCCGGCGGCAGGGAGGGAGACGGGATCCTGGGCCGGCGGGTTTGGGGGTGGGGGCGTTTGATGGGGATGGCTGCAGGGAGACGGGGAGAGGGGTCAAGAGGAAGGGTCGGGTGGATGGGAGCTTGGTGGGGAAAGGGAAAACAACGAACCAAATAGCATAAAACCAAGAGCTCATCGTCGTGGGCTGTTGGGTACTTCGGGTGGAGCCTCTCCTAGGTCTCCTCACTTTCTCTCAAGCTCTCAAGCAAGACAAGAAGAATGAAAACTAAGAAATTTTATTAATCCAACATTCAGCTCATACAATAGGAGGAGACCTCCTTATAAAGGCCTCATTGACAGAAAATAACATGACTCAAATGCCCACCGGGCTACAACAAAGACTAAACCTTCATAAGGGCAAAACAGTAAACTACGGCTTGAAATAAAAGATACATAGAAAAATAACATAAAATGACATGGCAACATCAGAAATATAAGATCCCAATCGTAGCCGTCGATCTACGATTTTTTCGCCGGTAGACCTGCCTAAAATGTCTGTCGATGACCTCATCATGTATACTGTGCTCTTTTATTTCTTCTTTCCATTGTTTCAAGTGAATAAATCTTTCAATAACATGCAGGCAGTAAAGTTCGGTCATGCTTTGAAGTTTGAAACCTGCTTGCCTTTTATCTTCACTCCGTATATTTCATTATTTCAAAATCATTTTCTTGTTGTGTGCTAGATTGCTATTTTACTTTTTTTTGTTTTGTTTTTTTCTTTCAAATTTATTTTTCCTTATATAAATACATTACTTGGTCAACTCAAGAAGCGCTTATCTTGTAATATTTGTAGGTAGGATATGATGTGGTCAGGCCTGGTAGACGCAGCATTGGTAAGGTGTGCGCGCTGGAACACTAAGCACATACTATAAATTTTAAGATATTATTTCAACTATAATATGACTATGCCTTCTTGCAGATCCGTGGTTACACTTTCAACATCAATACTGGTGCTGTTGAATCACTTGAGTTTGACTCATTTGGCTTTTCCATCATCCCATCGAGTCTGGTACTTTTATAAGCTCATGTTTGTTTGAATTCTTGCGTAGTTGTAAGTGGTTCAGATTTCAAACTAATAATTGGGCACTGTCCACTAGGTGAGCACCTACCGCTTATCAGTTGAAGATGTTCTTGATGTGGAATCTGATAAGGTCATTGTGTATGAAGAAGCTTTGTCTCATGTTCAAAGGTTAACAAAGGTACACCAATCGGTTGCTGGCACTAAAAACGTGAACATTTTATTGTGTTTCATTTATAGTTATTGTGTTGGAATATTCACAGCACTAGAGAGGAAGTTTATAATCTTTTGTATTGAACGAAAATCAAAATCTCAGACAGACATAAAGAAGTTAAGCAGCTCATAAAATACTTAAGATTTTTTATGTGTAAAATCTGAGAAGCGGAACAACTATGGAGTCTAGCCTACTTAGAAAGATTCCACTATTAGAAGTTTAGTTTTGTAGAGGGCATTTTCCACCGTAGTTGTAGAAGCTGTTAATGCAATATAGTAGATATGAATTGCACAAGATATTAGGAGGTGAGATTGATTACTAAGAAGGTGAATGCTAGTGGTTGACAAGCGTTGGCATTGACAAGTGTAAGTTGATAGTTGATTGAGAATGTTGAATGATAGATAATTGTTGGTAGTTTGTTCAATCATTTTTCTTATACGAGGGGAGATCGGTGATAAGGAAGGCAGATCTTGGATATTGACAACTGATGGATGCTAAAGATTGACAAGAGCTGAACAATTGGGAATGCCATGCCCATGGCAATGAATGGTGGTTTTAATTGTTCTCTTGTAGGAGGTGAAATTGACAACTACAAAGGCAAATGTTGGATTTTGGTGACTAGCATATGCTAAAAATGATGATAGTCTGGGATTCTTAGACTTTAGGCTTTCACCAAATGTGAGGGGCTAACAAACACTGAATTATGGTTGATTGAGAGCATTGTGCAATAGTTGAATGGGAGAGAGTTGGACATTAAGCGACAACTGGTAGTCTACTCAATCATTCTCCTTATAAGAGAGAAGAATGATGACCATAAAGGAGGGTATCAAACATCGGTGGTTAACAAAGAGGTGTGTTGGATCTTCCTAAGGGGCTATTTGGTTACCTGAAAAAGGAATGCAATATATTTTGAATACAATGTAAAGTAAATGTAGTATATTTAGAATATTTTGGGGTTGTTTGGTTGTTTGCAAGGTAAATGCAGAAGAATCATTTTTTTATTTGGTTATACATATGCAGAGTAAAGTAAAAAACATTATATTCTGATTACTTTGGTGTTGTTTAGGATGGTGTGTAGTATTAAGTGTAGTATATCATTGTAATGTAATGACAACAATACCTTTCAATGTTTGAACATATGATAATTATTATTTGAATAATGTGAATTTTATATACATTAGAGTTCATGAAATTAGAACTAGACATACGAAACAACTACTTATTTTTATCACTTCAATTATTAAAATGAATAATCATATCTAATTTAAAATTAATAGTACGTTACGGATATACTCAACATAAATATTAATGTATCATAATTTCAAAATATATTTGAAGTCATTACAACTAAAAATTATTTATATATCTAGCACAATAGAAGTTTAAAAACATCTAGCTATTACAACTCAAAATGATTAATATAACATATTTTCAGAACATAATTCATTTTCCTAGCTCTTTTCGCTTCTATATGGTTTTCAAATTGTAGGTTTTGAGAAGAAAGATTATATCATTGTAGGGGTTTTTCAATAAGTTATCATATATCGTATCAGTCTCTTATTCAGAAAATCTAGGAATACTTGATAGTTCATTCATGAGTTTAGTGAAAATTTTTCTTTCTTGTGAGGCTCTTGTTGTGCTTTGGATAGGTTTGCAACATGACATTATAGTTTGTCTATTAACAACATCAAAAAAAGACATGATAAGTTGCCTATTAACAAAATCAAAGAAAACATGAATACCCTTAACTACATAGACTAGACAAATTATTTACAAAAATAAAACGAGCTTCTCCAAGCAGCTCCATTCTCTTCCACATACTCATTGACAATTTATGTTTGGCTAAATTTTTCTCATTTGTTTTTCTAAATTGCTATGTTCATCTTTCTGCTCAAGCAACACCATTCTCTTCTTTTTTTCATTGTGTTATTTGCGACATAGTTACCTCTTATTTAAAAAAATTTCAATCTATCCTCCCACTGATCTCTTAGGCAAACAAATTCTAAAGCAAAGACAATAATCTAATATCAATTCCAAACCATAAAAACCCAAAATGAAAGCAATTTGGATTCAAAAATTTCCAAAAAATTGTACAAATAAAAGCTACCTTACATATCCGACCACAATTCGCACGAGGGAAGAAGCTAGGTCGAAGATTAATTGTCACGGGCAGAGCGTCGCGGGTAGGAAATGTCACAGACCGGAGCCTCATAGGCGAGAACTTCGCGAGCTAGAGTGTTGCAGATGGGAACATAGCGGGCGTTAGGTTCAACGAGAAGGTTGTGGGCAGGACATGAGAGTGAAGGTGTGAAGAGCGCTTGCGGGAGACAACAATTGGGGATTTTGCTCCTTTTCGTGTGAGGAGATGCGGTGTATTTGAAACTCACTTGATTTTAGCGGGTTTCAAATACACCTCAAATATATGCCCGAGTGAGTTCCGAATGCTTTGCTTTATTACCGTATCTTTACTTTAAGGCATACCAAACGTGAAAAAATAAAAAAAATTGCATATTACTTTGCAATGCATGCTAAATACAGGAAACCAAATAGCCTCTAAATGAAAAGAGAGTCTTGCTTTGAATAACCTTTCCTCATGAAGGGTTTAATATAGTGCAACTCCTATTATTAGTCTTAGTATTTGGAATATTAAGGACCTTCAATACTTCTTCTTCACCCTTATTTATTAGGATCATCGGCTCAAAAACTCTTCCCTATTTTTTTGAGAGGCTGTAATTTTTTCTTACAAAGAAGAATCCATTGGAACAATTTTGGGAGGATTTTTAGTTTCCAGTTTTAACAACTTTTGATTGCTCATATTTGAAACTCTTCCTGGGACATTACTAGGGAACCCATACAAATGGGATTAGGTACTCCCATCTTTAGTATTGCTCTACGCTCCATGAAGAAAATCCAGCTATGCTTAACATGGCTTGGCATATGAACTAAGCTAAGATAACCCTGCATACAATGAAGATCTGTGCTAACTAAGGTGCCAAAGGAATCCACATACCACAACATAAAGCCACCTCATAGATTGCAATGTAATTGGTAGAGAGTGGTGCACTTGATCCAATTTTCCAAGGGCTTGAACTACAAGCTAATTCGGGAAGTGAAAACTTTGACGAAACAAAAAAATGTCATTGGTAATTGTTGATGCTTTGTTGTTAACCACACACCACCAAACTTCTTCCGACTATCTTCTTACACAAATGTTATTGCACTAATTTAATTAGATTCTGGTCAAAGAGCACGTATTGAATAAAGGATGCCATAAAGTAATTAAACTCTAGAGGAGGGCCCTCCTTTTTCCTTGACACCGTTTAAATTGGGTTGAGAAGCTTTATGTGTTACTTTGTTTCTTATATGTGGAATATTAAAAAAAATGAAATATTAAAATGTTCAAAAAAAATAATGGGAACAAAACATACATATAGCTTTCTTCCCATAGATACAAAATACGTAGAAAAACTTAATAGTTTGGCTTACCAATGTAACTTTTTATGATGAATACACAACTTATAAATTTTTCGTATGACCATTACTTCGAGATATTTCCAAGAAAAAAGTTTTTTTTTTTAAGTTTTCTAACAAAATTTATTATACATTACCTACACATATGAGGGAGTTCTTACTAAAAAAAGTTATAATTTATTTACTTCATATTCGATCATAAAAGTGTGTTGAAGAAAGAAATGTCAACATTTCAACCATAGAAATTGGAAACAGAATGTCCTAAAAATCAAATCAATAAAGTTTCACTTGAAAAAAAATTGTGTTGATTAAGGATGTACCACGAGAATACCTTAAATAATCATATATATATATATATATATATATATATATATGTTGCGGGCTAGAATATATGCGACGATAGAGTTAGAAAATTTTCGTCTCAGCGTTATACGGATATCCAGCACATAAACAGAACAAAAAAGGAACACTAGGATTTTTACGTGTAAAACCCTGGAAAGGAAAAACCACGAGGCCACACCCAGTTGAAAGGATTCCACTAGTGTTTGCTTAAGTTACAAGTGGCTGACTCGTCCCTGAAGTTGAGGACGATCAGATTACAAATCTTGGGTTGAAATTCAGTTACAAACAGATATCGGAATTCCGGCGATGTTGGGTGGTCGGGCAGAATTCCAGCAGCAGTTGGCGATCAGGCAGAACTCCAGCGTCAGTTGGCTGCCGGTGAAAGTCTGGTGGTGGTCGAGGAGGAGTATCTTCATTCTCTTCTTCCTTCTCCTCTTCTTGCTTGAGGTCCCCTCTCAAGAGTAATGAGGGGTCTATTTATAGTTTTCTGAGAGTGGCATGACCAATAAATAAGAGGAAGATCATGGGTAAATTGGGAGTGATTTGAATGGACGGCCGGTGTTGAATCCCTTGATCATGAACAGTTTATTGAGCATTTGATTGTCTTAATGATATCAGAACTTGGCAATATTGGGCTCGTTGGATTTGTCTCGTAGAGACGCTCGATTCGACTATAAGCACGCCATATTTGGAAACCGTTTGGTAATCCAAATTATGGATTGAACCTTCCAAATGTGCTTCGGGTCTTTGATTTGAACTCATTTGGGCTTGGATTGAGTCGAATTTGGTGTCGTTGGGTTCGTATTTTCGAGATGTTCAGTTCGACTGTAAGTTTGTTGAAATCGGAGTTCATATTGTCTCCAATTTAATTTTTGAAGTTTCCAACTTGTTTTTTACCTCGAGATTTGTGCCTGATCAAGATAATTTTTTGATGATATATATATATATATATATAAAGACGATGAAAATAGTGAAATTATTTAAACATAGTAAAAATCTTGCTTGGTGTCTTGCTCTGCAGGGCAATCGACTTCTTTTTAGATGAAACTCAAAATCTAATAAAAATGTTACGACATCCCCACTGCAATTCACAACCACATTTTAATAGAATAATCGACCACGTTTTAGAAGAAGACTGGATTCGTTAACATGGATGATGAGCTTCAATCTTTTATCGGTAGTCATGTTTTTAAAGACAAATTTTTGGCTAGTTGTTATAAGAAAATATGAGCCTCAAGAATAAGTTTGTGTTTTTATCTAACCCAGTTATTATATATAATTTTTTGAGCAAAAGTGGCTAGCGAAATTTGTGGAGCATATAAAAAATTTCTAAGGTTTAATTTTTTTTTAATTGTTTGAGCTAAAACCCCTTAAAAAATAGTTTTGTAAAACAACAATGATAATACTTTTATCGGGTGCCAACGCTCGAAGCCAACTCTGGAGTTGGCGATGGGCAACATAGTCATTGATAACAATTGTCCCACCTCTCTTTCATAAAATTGGCCAGACTCGGGGATTTAACTCGACATAGGATTGTCCTACTGAACGGTACATGCTCGGTACTGAGCGTTACTGGCTCGGTACTAAGTGGTACATGCTCGGTACGCTCGATATTGAGCATATACAACAAGCAGAATTTCAAAATTACTCTTATAATATAATTTTGTTTAGCGCCCCCGGAAAACCCCGCAGGGGCGCTGCCCCTTGACCCCGCGACCTGACCGGGCAGCTCGAACCCTGCCAGGGGGCAGCGCCCCCTTGGACCCCCGGCAGACTGGTATATTTTTGTATTCATGTTATTTTATTATTGGTAGTACAAATAATTGTTATTTTTGTTTTTGTCATTATTTAAAATTTTAAATTAATTTATTTTAATCGTTTTGAGGCTTACGCCTCGCCTCACTTAGAAAAAATGCCTCGATTCCCGATTTCGCCTTTTAAAACCTTGGTCCTAGACAGAAATTAGTTGAATCTACTTCAACTGGATTAGACCCATGAGCATAATAAGCCAAGTAGGCTATAAGTCTATAAAATAAGAACATAAACACATTCATGAGGGCTTGTTCTCTTTTGCTTGTTTTTAAAACTTGTCTGGACATTCCTGCACAGGGCATTTGGGATACTGGAAATATAGGCCAATCTAGAGACCACCTGGAAGCAAGTCATTATTTCAGAAGAAAAAAAGCATATTCAGATCAAAGGCGAAGCAGCCAAAGCTTTAGGAGCCCAAAGTCCCCTGAAGGAGTTGAAGACTGGGATCTCCCAATGGATTATTGAACTTCCTACTTATTCATTCCAATGTAAGTGATTATGTTTTACTGTTCGAATACATAATGATTAAATTAGTGTGATTCCTCTGCTAATATCAGTTCTATTTGCTCAACCCTAAACTTTATGTAAAATGATTTTTTTTTGTCTCATTCAGAATTTTATTTTGAGAATCACACAATATTTTATAAACCATTAAGACGTCGTTTGGGACAGTGTTTTTGCTACTTTATAAATATGCTTTTTAGGACAAAATATTTGAATTAGAAATTTTTGTACTAAAAATTCGTTTTAAAAAGTAAAGAAGTTGTCCCAAACGAAACCTTAAATTTTAAAGGGATGGTTTAACTCATAAGTACTAATATGATAAGAAAAAAATTATGCCTCATTTTTTTATAAATATTTAATTGATATTCTTAAAGGATATTCTGGATGGTTTGAAAAAGATGAGAGCAGTAGCAGATATAAGGGTTTATTTGTGATAATTTTTTTGTTGCTTTGCTTTTTAGACTGCAATTGTAATTTTGCTCGGCTATTATTTTCTCTTAGGCTTTGTTTGGGATAACTTTCTTAGGTTTCATTTGGGACGGCTTTCTTCCTGCTTCTTAAAGTAGCTTTTTATTACAAAAATTAAAATTTTTGTACTAGAAAGCTGCTTTCAGAAGCAGTTAGAAAGTCGTCCTAAACAAAGCCTTACTCTGTCTTAAAATAGCTTTTTAGTATATAAATTTTCATAACTAAAAAATTTTGTACTGAAAAGTTACTTTAAGAAGTATTATCAAAGCCATTCAAATGAAGCCTTAGCTTTCAAAAAATTTATGTTGTAATAAGTTATAGTTTAGAGCAGCTTTTGAAAAAGTTATGTTTTATAATCACTTGAAAAAAAAAATTCAAGCCTAACATTATGTAGTGGTTGTTATCTTATTTTATTTATTGAATTTATATGCTATTCGTTCTAAGGTCGCCTTCTTCCCCGGTCATGAATGTTCAGACTTCGGACAAAAACATAAATGTTAAATAAATAAATATTTATTCTGACGGGGTAAATGGCGTGCGTTCTGACGACTTATAGGCCAATTTTTTAATGAAGAAATAATAAATGTTAATGGCTGGAATATGTCTGCGTTAGTTGTTTATTTAGGAAAATAGTGAAATATATTCCTACGTTGTTATCATAAGCTTTAGAGTAGAAACTCTATGTAGGGCTGCAAACGAACCGAGTCGAGCCGAGTATACGAATGTTCATGTTTGAGTTCGTTTATCATTAGCTTGTTCAAGTTTGGTTCATGTTTGATTCGAGCTTTATTGTTTGAGTTCATGTTTGGTTCGTTTAATTTAAGAGTGTTCATGTTGGTTCATGTTCGGTCCTGTTTGGTTCGTTTAATGCTTATCGAGCTTTAAGCAAACAAGTCTTAACGAGTTATGTTCACGAACATATTTAACAAACAATCTATTGAATAAACAAACATTAAATTTATTCATGAACATCTTAAACTAACAATCTAACAAACATAGACAAATGTGAAATGTCTTTTGTTCAGAAAATTAAATTTATAATAAATAGTTATCTATTTAAAATGAAAATATGATTAATTTATATGAATATATTCTTAAATGAAGCTTGCCTATTGCATTTCTCTCCATTCGAGTTTTTATCTAGCTTTTTATCGAGCTTATGTCGAGCTTGTTCACGAACTTCAAATGATGTTGTTCGTGAACAGAAATGAATCGAACACATTAGTGTTCTGCTTGTTTATTTAAGGATCAAGTATTTAAAATGTTGTTCAAGTTTGTTTGTTTAGTTAGTTAAACGATCACAAACGAGCTTTAATTGAACCGAGCATCGAGTAGCTCGTCGAACACTTGGTTCACTTGCAGCCCTAACTCTATGTTTCTCTTTCACATCTTATGAACAAATTTATTTATTTATTTTTTTAAATGTAGGGAATATATTAATTAATTTATATACATTTTTATGAACCTAAAATTATAAATAATAAGTTCAAGTGTTAATATTTTTTTAAAAAAATGTATGTCAATATTCTTATATGTTAGTGTGGAGTTAAAAGTTATTGAATTTATTTTAAATTAATATAATTAAAATTCTTTATATGTAATGCTAAATTTAAGATAAATATAACAACTTTTAAATTTATGATGGTATAATTTATATTAAAATATAATTTTTTTTTTATGAATATTATATAATAAATTAAAAGCTATTTGCTTTATTTGCAGGACTATTATTTCCCTGATTCCCTCATATATATAAATTAAAAGCTGTATTTAAAATGATTAAATTAAATTTTATAATACAAAAAATTAAATACATTTGCCTATATGCATGTGCTCGCCTAAATCCGAGGTGGATCTTAGGCTTCATTTGGGATAATTATTTTATTATTTTTAAAATAATTTTTTTGTGCAAATATTTTTTGAATTTAAAATTTGTTTAGTATATAACGCATTAAAAAAGACTTTATTTGTGACAGTTTTTTTTGTTGATTTAAGAAACAATAAAAAAGTCATCCTAAATGAAATCTTAGGTTTCGTTTGGGACAGTTTTTTTAATGCTTCTTAAAACAACTTTTCAGTACAAAATAAAAAATTTTGTACAAATAAGTCGCTTTAAGAATCATAAAAAAAGTCGTCCGAAACAAAGCCTTAATCTAATCGGTCAACTCCTATTGAAGACATGGCTTTGTATTTAACAATTAAAATAGTTTCATGAGATCATATTAGCAATTGACTTCAATTTTTTGGTTTAATATCTTAACTCCCCATTGACAAACCAACTTTGAATTAAAGAAATATTGATAATTACATGTAAAGATATATCCAAAAACTTTATACAGTGAGTCCATCAAAATATCAAGCTAATTTATTTAAATCAAATATGGGTGTCCATAAATAACTTGGCCCGTCAATCTGATCCGGATTGAACCCAAAAAAATTTAGGTTCTGATTGATCCGTTTAATAAATGGGTAGGGAATTTCAACTCATTTATTAAATGGGAGTGACCTATGTAATATTTTTTTTTTATTTGTTAGTGTGATTTTTTTTATCAATTAACCTAAAATCTTTGTTTAATAACTTATAATTTTTTAATCAAAATGGGTTATCAGGTTGGATTTGTGTCATTTGGGTTGGTAGCGGGTCGGGTTCTGATCCTTTTTGACTATTTTATTAAACGAGTTGGATTCGATTTGATCAAATTCAGAATGGATTAATTTCAAATCAGACTCAAAACCAACCCATTAACCCGTTTTGACACCCATAACATTAAGATTTGTGCATATGTAGTAATAACATCCTTTAAAGTTATAGACATTTCATAAATTATATTTTTCATGTGCAATTAATAAATTCATCATTTTTAAAGCATAATTGCTAATTTCAAGCCATAAAATGTGCCCTTAGTTTATTATTTAAATGAAAAAAACACTAAGTTAATATCTTTTCAAATAAAATTTATCACTTTTATAAATAAAACAAAAACCTAATCTTTTAATATAAAGATAAAAAAACTAATCAAAATTCACTTAAATTCTAACAATATTATTAAAATTTTAATTTTCATAATAAATCTTAATACCAATATCAAAATTTATTTAAAAAATTCTATTTTAAAATATACTGATTTCAATAACACATAATGAAAATAGTTTAAATAAATATTCTTATTTATTAAAAGTTGAAATTATAAATTATTAAAAAAATAATTTTATTTTTAAAAACCCTTATTTTATTAAAAAAAAAAAATCTTTTTTTGTCGTAACTTGGCGCCTGCAGCCCTTGACCCCACCACTCCCGCTCAAAAGCCTCCTTCCAAACTGCCAAATGCTATAATGGACGTTCGATCTTCAGATCTGACGGCTACAATCGGCTGACCTCTTCGCCGCTATTAAACTTCCAACGACGCGTTTTAACATCGCTTGGGCTATTAATCTCACCATTATTTGTTTTGTTAAGCTGCAAATGGTGAGATTAGCAACTAATCAGATAGGTTAATTAGTTAATCTCGCGACTGTAAGTCGCCGGCGGCATATCAAGAGACAAAGAGAGAGAGAGAGAGGATTCTTCCATTCTTTCCTTGTCGTTTGGTCTCCTCAGCACATCGGATTTGATTCCCGATTGACATTGGATTCTGGTAAGTTTGATTATTAGCTGGCGTTGATTTCTTGAAGCATTTTGTTTGATTTTAATGTTTTTGATGTTTTTGGGTTCTTTTTTGTGGGAGAATATTGAGAAGGCTAAATGCCAGTTCTTGTAAAAATATGAAAATAAAATCAGCTTGATACAGCAAGGGATTGGTGAATTGGGAATGAATTAAGAGGTCATAGTTGGAGATCTTGATAGAGTTGAAAAGCCTTTTTCAATTTAGGTTTTCTTGGTATGATGATTGCTGTTTAGAATTTTCACTTTGTGCAATTTTTTATTGACTGGAGAATCAGTTATGTGTATCTCTGTGAATAATAATATGGTTATGTTGATGTATCTGCAGAGTTTATTTGATATTTTTCTCGACCTTTGCTGCAATTTTGACTTGGATGGACCATATAAACTGCTTGGTATGATTATATTGTTCAGTAAGAGTGTTTTTGAGTTCTGAAAATGGTTTAGATGGTTTTTGCATGGTTAGGGTTACTTGGGAGGTTTTCTTGGTTAATAAGGAGAAGTCTAATTGGAATATTAACTTGTTTTTTCATAAATTCATTTCATAACGTGAAGTTAGGTCTGCTTTTCCAATTTTGATTTCTTACATAGCTAATTAAGCTGCAAAAGGAGTAGATGTGGTTAAGTATAAGAGGAGGTGAATAATTATTTATTTTATCTCATGGGAAACCTTTGTTTTTATTTATCTTGTGTAGTTTGCAGAATTTATTAAATAGATATTGGCAAATAAAAGAAAAAGTTGTGTATCATCTGAGATAATTTAAATTCTGAGTTGCTGATTATGACTGCTGCAATGTTTGAAATAGTTCGAATGAACATGGAGATCAGTTTGAAAACACACCCATTTGACGTCATTGTTTAATATCAGTAGTAAATAGTAATTGCAACCAAGGAAACCACCTCCCTACAATTGGAGATATTATTTTGTGCGGAGTCCGAAGGCGTCCGGAGATCAATCCGGACATGCTACGTCATCCAATGCACTATGCATTGGGTGATGTAGCACGTCAGGATTGGCCTACGAACATGTCCGGACACCACACATAATAATTTTTCTTGCAATTGAGGGAAGGTTCTGCATATCATCCCTTTTCAGACCCTGCATTGCAAGAGTTTCATGCGCTGAACAGGCAGTTTTAGTAACTGTAATGTATTATCTACTGGATAGGTACTTTGCATATTGACTTCCGAGTGATTGTTTTCTATAATGGATTTTAATGGATCCAATATATGATATTTAGTTATCTTTAAAACGGTACATAAATTCAATTAATTTGTCTTTCTTCACTTCATTTGCAGAATCAGGAGCCTTTTTTTGGGAACAGGATGCTATAGATAATAGATTGCTATTCATTTCTCTCAAGAAGTGAAGAGGATGGCAAGTAGGAAATCTCATTCATGGTGGGGGAATAGTTATACCAGTCCAAGAAATTCAAAATGGTTGTCTGAAAATGTTGAAGGCAAGAATTCAAAGAATATTTATTTCATTAATTTCTTCACATATTAGTTATTATTGTATAGTTTAGCTGAAAAATGAAGTTAATTAAGCCACATTAATCGCCGTTTATTACAGAGATGGATGTCTTGGTCAATGAAATGCTGAAGCTTATAGAAGAGGATGGCGATTCATTTGCAAAAAAAGCTGAGATGTATTACCAGAGGCGTCCAGAGTTGATCTCCCATGTTAAAGATTTTTACCGCATGTACCGTGCACTTGTTCAACGTTATGATCATGCAATTGGTGATCAGGCAAAGAATATTCCCACTGAAATCCAATCCCAAGGTTCAGCCAACTTGTCTGAGTTTGGCGTAGAAGCAGCTTCAGCTTCTTTACCTTCCTCTCCAGCGAGAACAGCAGAACAAAAGGCGAACCATTTCAAGCCACACTGGAGGGCTGCTGGCTTTGATTTCTTCCTTGGGTCGGGTCGAAGCTCGGATCGTTCTAGAAAGGGATCAGATGAGTCATCATCAGAATCTGGCTCTGAATCTGACTACAGCAAGGCTATGGATGTCTATGAGAATTCTTTTAGGCTTGAAATGAGGATAATTGGTTTAGAGAATGAGCTTCATGAAGCAAGGGATAAGCTTCAGGAATATAAGAATGGACCTAAAGAACAGTGTGAACATTTGTTAAACAGTGAAGTCTTAGATTTGTCTTCAACAACTTCATCCATGGAGATCCTACCTGTATCAGCAAATAAGAACTTCACAGCATTGGAAAAACAAATTGAAACATTGCAAGCTTATTTACCAGACCAAGAAGTTGAGATCAGAAATCTCATGGAAGCAATGGAGGCTGCTGCTAAGCAATTTGAGAATGAAATTTCGAGTAGAGATCACATAATTAAGGAGTACAAAACATGGCTCGGTGCAATATTGAACAAATCTATTAGCATCATTGCAGAAGATGAGCAGATTGCGGATGAGAAATCACGTCTGGAAATCAAAATTCTGGAGCAGGAGCAAATGATTTTGGAGCTGAAGGCCCTGGCTGCACATTCTTCTAAGAGGCTTCTCCAAGAGAAGTATGCGCTGGAAGCTAAACTTTCAAGTCTTATGGTCTCTAGCAACTCCTATTGGGCAAAGCTTCAAGTTTTAGAGAAACGGGTAAAGCAGCTGGAGGCTGAGAAATTTAAAGTATGTGCTGAGAGTGCCAGGCAAATAATCGAACTAACTCAAAGTCTTGAAGCAGTTAAGCTGAAAGTTGTCATATTAGAATCAGAGAAAGAAGAGCTCAAACCTAAAGTGAGTAAGCTTGTGGAGGACATCGAAGCTCAAGATGACGATCCTACAGAAGATGACGAACACCTGCAAGAATTAAATCTGGAGCACGCAAAACTAATCCAAGAATTTGAGAACGCTCAAAAAGCCTCATCAGAGCTAAAAACTAGAGTGAGAGAGCTTGAGGATGAGGTGGAAAGGCAGAGGGTGCTAATCATGGATGGTGCTGAGGGGAAGAGGGAAGTTATCAGGCAGCTTTGCTTCTCCATTGAGCATTATCGCATAGAATACCAACAGCTGTGTAGGAGGCTGCAGGTGCAACATAGAAGACCTGCAATCATGGCCATCTGATCAACCTTTCTGGGTAAAAGAAAGTAGAAGAAAACGATGAAGATGTATTGAGTTCAGGCTTTGCACAATTTCACCTGTGAGGGTTTCATCTACCTTGTTAGTTTTGTGTAATTATGCAGTGATAGGAACTTTTGCACTGCATGGAAGATAAAATTAGGAGGAAGCTTTTTCTGTCTGTTTTTAAATGATAGAAATCTATCCTAAATTTTCATTAGGCAAATCCAAGACGAGCATGAAATTAATCACACATATTAGATAAGCATAATATCAATCATATTTACTAAATCTATGTGAATATGATGACATTTATGATATCCTCGCACGCTAAGCGTGATGTATGAAATCTTTAGTTTAAAAATGAAGAGTATACAGCTTGAGTCAAGAATTTTTGTTTACTTAATCTATGTGGCTACACTTTCCTTGTTATTAATAGGTTATCAGATCTATTTATAACAACCCTTTGAAGGAGAAAGCTTATTTCTTTAGAGTAGTTGTAACAACCCAAACTCTTAACTATCGAGATATTATCAGCTTTGGTCAAAGAGCCTTACATTTTATCCTATTGGTATAACTTCGCAGTAGGTCACCCATCCCAGAATTGCTCTAGGATGAGCACGCTTAACTGCAAAGTTTTTTATGGAAAATCCAACAATTACACCAGAAGGCGTCTCGATGTTTAAGAATTTAACTTCTTTTACATAAGGGATTTCACAATAAGTCTTTATCTTCTTTTACTTAAGGGATTTCAGAGTAGTAATGATTTTGTTTGTCTTGGATGCTTTGATGATGGTTAATTCTGCAAGTTTGCATGAGCATGACATTTGAACACCAGCAAATAATAAAATAATCAGTCATGCTGTTGAAATCCATGGAAAGGAATTTCATTAGCTTCTTCTTCACATGATACTTGGAACAGATCTTCATATCTTTTGCCTAAATTTGTTAGTATTTAATATCTACCTAATATATTGGGACATCAAGTAATTGAAAAAAAAAAAAAGGAATAATATCTCACTTCTAAAACTGGTTTAAGGGCGTGCTTTTATGCAATTTATCAGATAGACACGTCACAATTATTGCAACCACTACAGACCTAAGTTTCACCAAATATTGCAATAAATGATTAGTCTCGAAGAGATGAACAATACAAATGGTGACCTATTAGCAGCAATTTTTAGCGATTATTGAAGTAAATTGGTAGAGATTTATGTTTGATAAAAGATATAATAGCACATCCACAAAAATATTTATGTATGTTCTTAATATATCAGCAATAAATTATCTTGATCGGGTATGAATTTCTAGGCAAAATTAAATTGGAAGCTTCCAAAATTAAAGTTGGGATCATTTGAACTTCGATTTTAGCAAACTTACAGTCGAATTAAACCTCTCAAAAATGCGAACCCGAAGATATCAAATTCGACTCAATCCGAGCCCAAATGAGTACAAATGAAAGACCCGAAGAACATTTGAAAGGTTCAAACCATAATTTGGGTTACCAAATGATTTCCAAATGAGACATGCTTATAGTCAAATCGAGCAGCTCGACGAGACGAATCTAACAAGCTCAAGATCGTCGAATTATGATATCAATAAGACATTCAAATATCTAGTAAACAGCCCACGATCAAGGGAATTGACACCCTGTGGACCTCCGAAAGAGCACCGCTCGTGGGGTAAGAATGTAGAGGGTACGGCCGCACTATCCCGTGAGAAAAAACGATCGTAGGCCTCTACACTTGACACGAACAGGCCACGACTAACCATTGAGGATAGAGGCTTTCACCAATACACCTCGATGGGTAGCAATATACACGACCTAGTCACGGGTTTCCCCCATCCGATACAACAGTTCGAATGAGGTTTAGTAGATGTGGGGTCGAGTTTCCCACGGGCGCAAGCCCCCGTGGTTAATTACATCCCAGGCCGGAGCCCAAGAAAACTCTCGATTAAGGATCGTATATTATCCTTCCCAAAAGTGGGATTAGCACAGGGGTATAGACTAAGAAGTCCTACTCAGAAGGAAGAAATGTCTCAAAGAGGCTCAGTCAAACATGCGTGGTTCACACCAGCATTTGGAGGTTCTAGGGTGCTAAGGAGAAACTGGGAAAAAAAAACCAAGCACTCAATCAGATGCGTGAGAAAAGAGATGGAGGTGGCGTCATCCTGTGACGCGGATAAGTAGGATTTATAGTCCTTCTACCGGACCACCAACTGGTGCCCGAACTTTCGCCAAACCACCGCCTGACACTGAACTTCTGTCAGACCACCACTTAATGTTGGATTTCCGCTGGACCACCACCCGGCGCCAAACTTCTGCCAGGCCACCGCCCGAGACGAATTTCTAGCGGACCACTGCCCAACGCAAGACTTCTATCGGACCACCAACTGACGCCCGAACTTCCGCCGGATCACCGACTAACACCGAATTTCTGCCAGACCACAGACTAATACCAAACTTCCGTCCGACCACCGATTGACATCGGACTTCCGTCGGATCACCGCCTGAAGCCGGACTTCTTCAGATCACAACCCGACTTCTACCGGACCACTGCCTGTCGACGGACTTCCGCTGGACCACCGCCTGACACCGGACTTCTGCCGGATCACCAACTGACGCCCGGAATTCTGCCGGACCACTGATTAACGTCGAACTTCCGTCGGACCACCGAGTGACGCCGGACTTCCGCCGGACCTGTGAAGGCTGTTTTCCTTCCAGGATTGTCCAGGACGAAGTTGGATCGTCCCGGGACGATCAATACAGGTTGTGAAGAAAATTCTGGTAGAGAAGTTCGTCCCAGGACGAACTGGGGTTCGTTTAGACGAAAATGACTCCCGAGAGCAAATCGTCCCAGGACGATTTGGGATAGTCCAGGATGATCTGGATTGATATATATGGAATGAGATCGTTTTGAAGAGAGAGAAAAAGTCATGAGAGAGAAAATCGAAGGAAAAAGGAAGAAAAGTGATTTTTGGGCGACTTCTGCCCGTTTCCGTCTGTAGCTGCAGTTGAGAAAGTTGACCGACACGAGGTAAGGCACATTCCGCCTTTCTCAATTTTCAGAAACGAGGTTTTTGACGACTTTTCTGTTTTGAATTTCATTTTCTTTAGCGAATATTTGGTTTTATTTCGCACTAACGAAAGTTTTATCGCGTAACTTTTGATATGTTTCTGAGATGATTATTGTGCACGTTTTGAGTATTTTCTGGAAGATTTTTACCGGGTATTTTGAATTCTGCCGTGTTTTGATTGAATTGCGAATTATCATGATGTTGAAAAATGTTGCTTCAGTACAATGAAAGTCTTATAATGCTGTTGTGTATATTATGTGTAATTAGATAAATTTCTGAATCTGTGAATTCTGTGTAAATTCCGTATACTGCCGTTATGCCGCTGACGATTTTCTGACGTACTCTGATTTTCTGATTTGAATGTTTCGATGTGCTGTGATATCAGAAGGGAGTTATAAGGGGCCGAAATCTCTTATGATTCCGTTGTCTGGGTCCAGGAAATCTGAAAATCTGAGAATCAGTTCTGTTCTGAAAATTCTGTATATCTATTATGTTCTTGTACTATAAGCACAAAGGGAGACATAAGGGGTCAAAATATGAGATTCTGTCAGTGTCAGGGAAGGGAGGCATAAGGGGTCAGAATCCGTCGAGATTCTGTCAGGGTCAGGGATATCTGATATCTGATATGTGAAATGTGTTATCTGAAATGTGATGTTATCTGATTTGAATTTTGATTTATACGATCCGATAAGTTCTGTGATTTAAAAGTTTTATAAGTTTTATAAGATCTGTTCTGCACTCTGATTTGAATTCAAGTATCTGTTTCGTCTGATTATATGAACTCTGTCTGATATTCTGATTTCTGTACGATTATTTGATTTATGTACTGCTATTTGAATAACTATTTATGATGTGTTTTCTGATGTAAATTTATGGAGATTTGGATTGGTGAGTGTAGTCTTGCTGAGCTGTTAGCTCATCCTTGTTTTCTGCGTGGTTTTCAGGATCTGGGAAAGGGAATGAAGTCTGGGATTAGCCGTTCAGTGTCTGATCAGTGATTAGGTATTTTGTACTTTTGATTTTTGTACAGTCATGACTTTTCTGTTCTGTTCTTTCTGTCTGTAAGCCATGACCTGTAGTGTACATGATTATTTTGATGAAGGAAAATATAAATGATCTGTTATGTATATTTGGAAGTGATAGTATCTCTGTGTTTCTGTTTGGTTTGTATGTTTGGATGAAAGTTCTGACGCAAGTCCCAAAACTATATCCTGGATTTCAAGTTATGTAGCAACTCGATGCGAGCGGGATGCGTCTCGGTCGGGTTGGGTCGTGACAGGACCACCGACTTACGCCCGATCCTCTGTCGGACTTTGACCCGACATTGAAATTCTATCAGTCATTGTATTCCAGCCCGACCATCATCCTTAGGTGGACTTCTGCCCGGTCACCAATTGTAGACGGACTTATACCTGACCACATAAAGTCCTTCCGACCATTGTCGCCATACAATGATCCTTCCAATCTCTGTCGCCAAAATACGATGCTTTCGACCTCCGTCGCCAACTAACAACGATCCTTCCGACCTCTATCACCGGATTATGGTCCTTCCAATCTCCATCACCTGCCAAATATGGTTCTCGCGACTTCCATAGTCCGACATCGATCATTCCTCGTCGCCCACCGACAACAATCTTTTTGACCTTTATCGCCAGATTATGGCCCTCCGACCTTCATCACCTGCCAAATATGGTCCTCCTGACCTATCGCTCGACAATGGTCCTCCTGTAATGCACTCTATATGATGTACAATCGTTACATCAAGCCAAGTCCATCTCTCAAAGAAGTGTCTCATTTGTAATCGATTGAAAATACTAGTAAATTCCTTCAAACTAGGCCAGGCCCCGTGAGATTCCCCCCATATAAAAACTTTGATGTCTCTTACAAATGCTGTACACCCTATCTCTTATCTAATTTTGTTGAATATTTGTACAAAACTAAAATATAAAAATTATATTTCTCTATCGTTGTAAATATTTCAAAGACGCAACAATTCTGTAAACCCTAATAGTCTTGATTGAACCGAGTGAAGCTGATAGGCTGGCTACGTCTGGCCGAAGTAACCACGTGGCAGTTTCTTAGCCACGCAACTTTCAAAGCAACTTGGAGCAGCCAGTATGGCCCACAGCCAATGGCGGCGTGCCCGTGTGAGCGGTAATTGGCGGCTTCAGTTCAGTATCCATCGTTGCTTGGCGTGTAAGCTGTCCCGCGGGGGACGCACCGAAAATGTTGACGCGTGTGGAGAGTCTCGTGCTCCGCGTAACTCCTTTCGGTGAGACTTGAGAGCCAGCACTTCCACATCTCCCTCTCTGTCTCTCTCGTCTCTCTCTAACTCTCTAACTCTCTAATCCCATTCCTCTCTTTCTCTCTCTACAAATATCAGAGCTATAGCATAACGGCCTCTGATCCGCCCTTAGGGCCATTGACCTGGCTGCGATAGGAATAGAATCTCGGTAGTCAAAGCTTGGGCCGTGTAAAAAGTCAAGTCTTTCTTCATTTTTCGTCTTATATTCTCTCTCCCATGCACCTTCTTCTCTCTTCATTTAGAGAGAAACAACGAGGATGAAGAACCAAAGGGCTCAAGAGATTTCAAACGCAGAGGTTCGCTTCTATTTCTTCTCTGTGCTTTTGATTCGTATGCTCTATCATTACTCTTTTTTTGTATTTTTAAATCTTGATAATAATGCTTTGATAAAAAAGAGAGTTTTTTTTTTTGTTCTTTTTGGAATTTATGATGATTATTTTTATTATTAGCGAATAAGGGGAGGAAGGTTGCTTCATTTTGGCTTTTGCCAGTAGGGATCTCATTAAATAGTTGGTTGAGAGGCAGGTGGTGAATCTCTCTAATTATTTATTTTTGCATTGAAGGTAACAGCTGTTTCTTTGCAGTATTTTGATTAAAAAATTGGTTTTTGTCTGACTATTTGCGAATCAAGCCATGCTAGTTTTTTAAATCATTCTGTTTGAAAGGTAGCTGTTTGTCAAAATGCCTAAGAGAGTTTTTTTTTTGTGGTGATTTTGCCAAAATTGTAGATTTGCTATTGAATCGATAAAATTTTTAAATTTCCTTTTTTTTTTCAACTACTTATGTAATGGTCTTTTAATTTTAAAGGAAAACCACGTCTTTGCTTCAAGTTTCCAGCTTTGTGTGTGGTTTTTAAGTTTCCCGTTGTTTTCTTTGAAAGAATTATAAAAAAGAAATCTCAAATATGATTTTTACATGTCTTGGTGCCCCAGTTATATTTATCTGTTGTTTGTGTGTAGGAAGAACTGGTTTAACTCGTTAGTTCAATTTATTTAGCTGTGTGTTCTGCAATTGAGTTCTACAAATTTCCATATTTCTTACATGGTTTCTGATATCGCCATTTTTAAGAGATTTGGATTTTGGATTTTGGATTTATTTTTTTGAGCAAATAATGAGAGATTAGTTACCGTTTACGCATAAAATCATTCTTTTGGGGTAGTTTAGTGATGCGGACATCGGCACGAAGATTTGTCGCATCTATCACAGGAGGCGTCGTAAATCGACGGCTATAATTTAAATTGTCATTTAAGAGTTATTTTATGAATTTTTGCTTTTATTTTATGTTATTTCCTGTTTTACCCATATGTTAGTTTATTTGAGTGTTGTGGCCCAAGGGGAAATTTTGTAATTTTTCTTTTCTTTCTCATGTTGTGGCCTATATATAGGGCATTTAGCTATTGTAATAGGATGAAGAATTGATTTAAAAAAATTGTGTCCACACTTTTGTTCTTTGTGAGAGAGCGTTAGTGAGATTCCTATGGAGAGGAATCAGAGTTTTCACCAGCCGCAGGATGGGTCCGGGCTCGTGAATTGAAGTCCCTTGGAGAAGGGCAAAGCATCACCCGTCAGTCGTCGGAAGAGTCCGAGACTCGCGGTTTTTATTTTCTCTCTATCGTTTGTTTCTTATCTCTTCTTTAATTGTTTTTCCATCGTCTTCCTTCTCCCCATCTTCGTTTGGCCACCGGATTCACCTCCACCCGAAATTCCACAAATTTTTCCCCATAGCCGCCGGCCACCCTTGTTTGTCTCCATGAATGAGGAGTCAATGTCATCTTAAAGCTTACCTAAAGAGTTCAAATAATTTAGGAAATTATTTTCATCCATTGAAATTCAAATTTTGAATTTCAATTAATTTCCTAAATTAGGATGCTATTTTAGGGAAGTATTGAATCTCATTCGTGATGTAATTTAAATTTACTTGAGTGATTTAATTTTGGGTAGTTTTAAAAAAATTCAAATTCCACTAATTTGAAATTTGGATTCTTTCCTAATTTTGTCATTCTATTTTGGAAAGTTCTTAAATCAATTCTTTTGAATTTCAAATTCAATTGGATTTGGTTAATTACTTTCCTAATCCTAAATTTACATTTATGCAAGCATGACACCTCACCCCCAAATTCCCTCTTGCCCATTAATGCCGCTGGCCTCGACCCCTTCATTAGCTTGGATTTAGATTTATTTCCTTAAGTCAAGTCTCTCTTTTGGAAATATTTCAAAACCCCTAAATCTCCTCCTAACCGAAATTGTTCAAAACCTGAAATTAGCTTTGGAAATAAATCCTCCCCCATATTCACGTCACCCTCACATTCCAAGTTCTGTTGCCTAAGCATCCCATCATTAAATCTTGCCAAACTCATTTTTGATTTGAAATTCCCTCTCACCTTTCTTTGGAAGATATTGCCTCCTTCCTACCAGCCGTCAATTTCAAAGATCAAGCCCTTAATTGCTGCTGCTGTTGGCCGAAACAATCAAAGCCCAATTATGTGAGCTTCTTCACGTAACAGCTTAGGAATTTAATTTCCCCCTTCTTTCCCCTTGGATCCCGCAGCCCCTTTACCTTTCCCGTCTCCCCCTACTGGTTGAAATTCTCCAAGGTCTTCCCACTGGATTTCCTACACTAAACCTCTCCAAAACTCCACAAATCATGGGTTCTCCAGCTCTCCTAAGCCTGCAGTCAGAAAAATTCCTGCAGTTATCCATTCATTAGCAAAGCCTCCGTTTCCGTTCTACATCATTTAGTTTATAATGTTATGATATTTAATGACAGTTGTTCGATGTCCTACAACAATGGCATCTTGGTGAAGGTCTTGTTGGGCGATGGCTAGGATGCTTACTTACATCTTATAACTAGCATACAATTACAACTTTGGTCATCTTGATGTCTTTAAAGGAGAAATTATTCCGTGCGAAGTCCGGACGGTAAAGAACCGTCCGGATGTGAGTGTATATAGTGCTTGTACATATTGTGTATAAAAAAACCAAATTATGTACAAAATTATACTCAGTTTACACAATGTGTACACAAAAATCCAGACTGTTCTTTACCGTCCGAACTCCGCACGGAATAATTTCTCTTAAATATGACAACAATAAACCAAACATACAATATTTCACAAAGGACACTAACATCTTAATAATATTGAACCAAACTTTTTTATAATCTTTTTGTTATGAGAGCGCCAAATTTCATGTAAAAGTGTCACCAATATTAAGGACAATGAGCTACAACATAAAAGCAAATATATAACACTCCACTAATAACACTAACATCTTAATAAATCTGAATCAAACATTTTTGTATTCATTTTGTTGTTACGATAGCATCAAATTTATTGTAGAAGTGTCAACAAGTTCAAGGACAGTGAGTCACAGCATAAAAGATAAAAGGGAGATAGAAAGATTATATTGACACCAAGATTTATTCTATTTTGTTGCAACTAAATTTATATCCATAGAGATAAGTGAGGCTTCGATCATCTATGATCGAAGAAACTACAAATTGGTTCACACAATGAAAGAATTTTTACCAACCTTTCTCAAATCTCAAGTACACTTGTACTCACAATAATGAACCCATGAAATTCTTATTGGAGAGATTTTATCTTTTAGGTACTATGTGAAGAATAAAATTTCCTTCAAAAATTAATCTTTTCATATATATTATATATTTTTCTGATCATTGTAAAATTAATGATTGAGATTTATTTGGACCTTTTGGGAGGGAATAATTTGAAAGAATTTTGTATTTATTTTGGGAGACATTTGAGATCTTTTTACTTTTTACATATGGAGTTAGGAGAGTTTCTATATTTATGTATTTACTTATCTATAAAAATCACACGTGTGACCTCTCAAGTGCATCCATTGTAAAAATAGCCATCCATGAGTCATGAAAAAGATAAAAAAGAAAAAAATATTCAAATGAGAAAAGGAGGAATAGGTTAGGCGAGTGTTGCTGGAAGGAAGAAGATCAGGAGTTCCGTCTACAGAGAAGCTTGAACATAAAGAAGGAAAAAACAAAGAAGCAAGTTCTCAAGCAGCTTTTAGATGCCTCAAGTCAGGAAAACTTTCGCTCTTGTTTTCTCATTAGTCATAACTAGCGGTTGTATGTTTTCTTCTTGATTTGTGGCAATAATAAGGAGATTTATTTTTCTTCTTCTATCCTCATGAAAGTTGTAACATTTACTAATCCTCTAATGTATGAAGAAATCATTAATGTACCTGCTTTTAAAGCTTAGTGAAAATTATTCGATCTCTGTGAAGTCATGGATGTAAAGCTTAATTTAAGCTAACTGCATAAACCTTGGTGATTTTTCTTTGTATTTTATATGTTTTTTTCAGTTATCATATGGTCCATCATATTTGCTCAGAAAGTTAAAGCCTCTCCAATTTAAGTTAGGTCAATATAAAAGCTAGCCTAGGCTTTTTCAACATTCAAAGCTGTCGATCACTCTTATATGACACAATAATCGATATATGAAACTAGGCACATTTTTTTAGAGGTGTAATTCTTTTTTTTTTTCTTTTCGGGCAGTTTATGGAAATCGAGCTGGGTTAGAGTGGGAGGAATTCCTTGCCATCAACCGCTGAGCCACACACTCACCCTTAGAGGTGTAATTCCGAGGATAAGATTTTTCTAATGTTGCACACAATCCAAGGTTAGTCATAATCCCTGTGCATCCCTATGCTCCTGAACTCTTGTAAATCAAAATACCCAATCCTAGTTATTTGAAGTTATCTAATCATAGAAGGAAATAAGCCATCTATATACAAATTGAGTTAATAGATGGCAGTTTTGAACGATATGTTTTTTTAAACCATGGATTACTCTTCAAGTTTAAATCTTTGTTGAATTATCTATTGTAACTGACAGAAAATTCTACTTGACAATTACACTAGTTGTCGCTAATGCTTAAAGGATTTCTCTCTTTTTTTTTTTCTCCTACAACGCATGGAGCTGTTTTAATGTTTGAAGTTTAGGAGCTTTTGTGCTGTGATGTACACAATAATACTTGTCTCTTATTACGTTTATGCAGAGGATATTTAAGAGGAAGATTACCTTTAAGTTGTAGAGAACAGCTAATACATCATCTCACTTTAGTTGATAAAAATATATTGAGGCAATTACTAGAAGGCTCTGCTCATTAATTTCAGTCGCCAAAGATCATGGAGAACAAAATTCCAGTGGTTCGTTTTGTTAGATGCCCCAAATGTCTTAAAATTCTGACAGAGTTTTCAGAGATTCCGGTTTACAAGTGTGGTGGATGTGGTGCCATACTTCGAGGTTTGTTCTTCTATAATTACTTTAATTTTTTTTCTCTATTTCAGAGATCATTATTTGCTAATGCTGTTTGCCAAAGCAGCTAAAGTGCGTTCAAACAGTGGACAAAATTTGAGCTCTGTGCTTGCCATTCCTGCATCCCAGAACTTACCTCACAATGATCCTTTAAGCAATGGATCTAAAATTCCTGATTCAGATGTGGCTACAGTGGTAGAGCAAGCAGAGATTAAGAATCTCAATGTTTCTGACTCAACTGGTGGCAATATTTGTGAAGAGAAATCCTTGGGACATGAACAAAATGAAATTAAAAATTTAATTGAATCGGACTTGGATGGCGATGTTAATGAAGCCAAGACGGAGCCTTTGGGACTCGAAGGAACTAGCATTAGAAAGAGATTGGAAGATGGAAATGAAGAGCTGGAGAAATCTCCCATTGTTAATTCAGAAGTCTATGATAGTAAAAATTCAAGTGATAAATTGGAAGAATCTTCAGAACCTATGGGACATTGCTCTACATCAGACGAGGATATGATGAACATGGAATTTGGAGATGACACTCATTTCAGAACGACCACTAGAAGCTCATCTCAAGCTTATGAAGGAAGTGTCTCTTCCACTGATGGAGATAGGAAAAATCATATTTTTCGGCTATCAAGAAGAACATTTCGAAACAAAAATATGTCAAATTCTACCAATATTACAGATGCAGAAGAGAACTCCGTAAGGAGATTTTCTGATGATAGATTACGATCAGCCACCAATGGCAAACTGAGCTCAATTCTTTATGGTCAAAACATAGATCAAGACCCATTTTTTACCTCTCAAGCTGTTCGACAGAAGGGGATCGAATCAGAGAATCACAGTTCTTCAAGTTCTCTTGCAAAGGATGTTAAAACTAAGATTTTAAGTAGAGTTGATGAACTGAGAAATGAGCTTACAGGATTCTTGAATGAAACAGATAATAGCAAAGACTCATCTCTCTTCGGTGTAAAGATATCCCAATTCCAAGGAAAAGTTCCATCAAAAGAGTATCGGTCCTCACTAATTCCTTTGTTCAGAAAGCCCAGCTCTTCCTATATCCATAACCATTCTGGAGAGACATGTTGCCATAATGAACATTGCAGGCCCTGTCCTCATAATGTCTGTTGCCACTTATCTGAACCTAGAATTCTACCTCCTCACATGCAAAACAGAACTATCAACCAAGAACCACAAAATCTGCAATTCAAGGTTCCAAGGCCGCAAAATATCGTTCGTCTTTGCCGCCCTGTATCAGGTGGTGCTCCTTTCGTCATGTGCTACAAATGCTTCAAATTGCTTCAGCTACCTACTGATTTTCTTGTGTCGCCGAAGAGGGTTAATAAGCTTCGCTGTGGTGCTTGTTCCCAACTACTCATGTACTTCTTTAGACCCAGATCTTCTTCCATGCCGCCGACTCCCGTTGAGAACCAGCATCCACCGAGCGAGGAGAATGATGAGGTCAGTGTGGTTGCAGTTGATGAGAACTTCAGAGATATTACTGCCTGGGATCCAGTTTCTACTTCAGAGAGCACTTCTAGTGAGGTTGAGCCAGCCTTGCATAAATCAAGGAGTTTTGATGAGAGAGTAGAAGAAGAACAAGGTGAAGATGGATGTTTGAAAGGCTTAAGGCTACATAACCTCATGGGTTATTCTTCAGCTAGTGAGATATTGTTTCATAATGGCTATTCTCATGATGGATATCAAAGCACTGAAACGCTGAAAATTTAGTAGGCCTGATGGATGGGAAAAGAGGGGAGATGGGCACTGAAAGTAAGAAGAAGATGATTCATCTCATAGATAAGTAATTTAAAATTCAGGTTGCAAGTTACAGCTTCATGTATGATTGAAAATTGAGAAATTTTTGGCAGTTTAGTTCATATCTGGCGATTAAAATAGTGCTAGAGTTAACTGAATAGGTGCGAAAAAATTGCTTTCATTTATTTTTATGATTAAAAAGATGTATTCTTTTGGATTTGTAAATAGGAATTTATGTATTGGCTGTGCTTGTTTTTCTTCAATATGTGAGTTTTTGTATATTGTCGATCAATTTTTTTATCTTTTTTTTTTTCTTGTGTGAACTTTTGAGTACTTTTTTTTTTTTTCTGTTTGCAGTAATTATTATTGTTTGATTTAAGGCATCTCCAACTGAAAATCTTATTTTTCACTTCAAAATGTCGTGAAACTAAAAAATGTCATGATTCATCTCCAATCGAACTCAATTTTGCGCGCTTTTGTGAAGGTAACCGTCTTCTCCTCTTTCACGCGTTTCTTCGACAAATCCGGTTGAGATGGAAAAATCGCGTAGGTGAAACTATATTGGCGTCGCACTCTTCACCCTCCACCAATTAGCGATTTTTTTTTCCGTTCGAATGGAGCAAGCCAGCTATGCCTTACAGTCGTTTGGAGTTCGGTTGGAGACGCCCTTAGTCTCAAGTAAAAAATTTCCAAACTATTATCTGTAAGTAGACTAAGATCTGTTAAAAAGATTAAATGGTTTCAAGGTGAGGACTTATGTTTTAATTTTGAAATGCAGCTATTCTTTTTTCCCTTCTATTCAATGGGAATTCTGATAAATTATCAAACGTTTCATACAAAGCTATGCAGTAGTAAATATATATGAATACAAAAAAAGTTGTTAGAGACTTAGATTAGGTGGTCAGGATTATCATTACCATTAGTCTGTTCTTTGACTTTGAAATTTCATTAGAATTTATTGCCATTTGTCAAAGTTGAATGTGAAGTGCATTTGTTCTCTTTATATATATATATATATATATATATATTGCATGTTAGAATGTTCATTGTGATCGAGAGAAGGCGTTTAATGTTTTAGATAGGTAGGAAAATCTATCACGCATTTAGATAAAATAGAAGTTACAAAAAATACCTCATCTTTTACATGAAAATTTCTAAAAGAGAAAAAAATAATGATAAATGGCATAGTTGAAATGATTCAGTTGGTGTCGTTGGGCGACCGTAGTTTGGCGACGGTGGTTGAGCGATTGTAGTCGGGTGATGATGGTTGAAGAACGCAGTCAAACAATAGTGGTTGGTGGATCATAATTAGACAATTGTATCTGTGGACCGTAGTTGAGTGACAATGATTGAATGACCATAATCGGGCGATAATGATTGGTGGATTGTAATTGTCTGGTAGTGGTCAGGCAATGGTGGTTGAGCAACGATGACTGAATAAACCATAATTGGTTGATGTGGTTGGAGGATTGTAGTCGGGTGACAATTGTTAGAGGATCATAATAGGACGATGATGGTTGAAGGTTGTAGTTTCAATACAATGGTTGAACTATGATTGTCAAATGACAATAGTTGTCAATAGTGATCGGACTGGGGTGATTGTGATATAAGTGATTTAAAATTAAATAATTTAAGTTAATTAATTTAATTAATGTATTTATCCTTTTATTATTTATTAGCTATTTCTTTAATTCAGAAATTAAGCTTAACTAACCTTATCCTATTTCTTGTTTTTCATTTAAATGAGTTGTTTGATTCCTAACTCAAATTAATTCCTATTTTGTATAAGTGAAGTGGGGGGACTGAAAAATAGAGGGGGCTTCGGTGCTTGTGTTCAGTTTGAGAGCAAGGGTTTGCAAGAAGGGGTTAGGACTTGGTGGTGTTGGATTTCTTGTGCAAGAGAGAAGAAATGGGGGTTGAAATTGGTGGATCTCTAGCTTGTTCTTCTTCTCCGCAAAAAGACTTTTGTACGTGATTGTTGGTTGGAAGCCGGGTTTGTGCCGTAAGAATTATTCTTTTGCAAAATTAAGCTATATGCTGGAAATGCATGTATATTTCTCTTATTTAGATTATGAAGATTGTTGTCTTCCTTTGCTGCTATGAGTTTGGGTGTTTCGTTCCCTAGTTTACCCTATATTATGTTTTCTTTTCTTATGATTGAAAGTCACATGTTGTTCTTCTTATAAAGATAGGTTTAGATCTTGGTGGTGGAGTTAATTATTGCGATAAGAATTTGTTTCTTGTGACTATGGTTAAAGATCTGTTTTAGATCTTTGAGTTATTTACTGTTTATAAGCAAGTTTTATATTGATTTAGGCTAGTGAAGGCTGCTGTTGGAAAAGTTTGAAGTAATTTCTATATATACAAGTCTTATATCTTATTTTCTCCATATATTCGGATAAAAGGATGATGAACGAGATTACCTCGTAGATGTAGAGTTTGTAAGAAATCGAACCACAAAGTTCGATTTGCAAATAAATTATTAGAACTACGATCGAGTTATAAAAGCTCGAAGATTTGGTGGTTGATTTATTTCTTCTTTGCACAACAGATTGGACGTCAATAGTACAATGACAGTGGTGATCCTACATCGACAATCTGATAGCAATGATCGGCAACGACAGTCTAGCGTCGAAGCTCTATCCAATTTTAAAACCCCCCCCCCCCCGCGGATGTTGAGAATGAGAGGCTATTTGAAGACTTTGAGAGCGAAAAATTCGAAAAACTTTATCAAAAGACCTGTATTGATCCTCTCAATCATAGAGCATTTTTTCAACATTTGAGAGCGTGAATGATATCAGGATTAATTAATTCAGAGCTCATTGGATTCGTCTGGTCAAGATGCTTGATTTAACTCTAGAATACATGATTTAAAGATCTTTTGGTTATCTAACCAATGTCCCTGTTATGTTTGGTCCAAGGTTTATCAGTCTTTTCTTTAGTTAGTTCCCTTTGTAGCTGTTTTGTTTTCGTAAATGTCTTATCTTTTGGTTTTTCATTGTCTTATGATTCTAACAAAGTTTTCAGAGATTCCTGTTTGTAAGTAGGGTAGATGTGGTGCCTGATAAACAATGTGATAAGCAAGCCCACATATCGCCTCATGCTTCCACTACTCTGCCACGGTAACAGAGAACTTTTCTCTGATTGTAATCTCCACCGTTAATGCTTAACCGACTCATCTCTGTCGTTCAAGTGCTGTCATGCTCTTGATTATATAGC